GCTTGCAAGCATTGAATATATTACTTTTTTTTTTTTGCATTGTACAAGAAGTACTTTTGTAGATACTTTCTTTACTAGGTGAAGGGATTCCTATTCTACTCACTGACTAGTCTCCCAATTTAGACAGAGTTCTCTTTTTGGAAAATGAAAGTCTTGATTGACTGTTTCCAAGCATTACACAGAATAAGTAGGACTACTATATCTAGGCTGCAAAAAAAAATTCAGACCATCACTGGATGACAGCAAAGAGATATAGAAAACTCTTAACACTCAATGTTGACAGCTGAGATGTAGAAGCCCCAAAATAACAAAACCTGCCTTAGTAGTAAAAAAGATAACACTGTTCCACGCTAACAGGGCAGGGTAAACATGATTAACAGGAAACGGGAAGGTTAAAATTCGGAGACAAGATGAAAAACAGTGTAGCCTTCACTAAATTGGGTGCTTTCTAGATGTCTGAACTGTTAAGATCTTTTGTTAACAGCTATACTAAGAAAATCCTGGGAGTTTAATCCACAGAAGTAGAAGATGCCTGGCTTGGAGAAGAATAGTTGTAAGAGTGTCATTATGCTGGCCTTTGTTGATGTGCCTGAGCTCTGCTCAAGCATTCAATTGAATGCACCCAGCTAAAGCTAGATAGAGATTAGATACATGCCTTGGCCCATTTGGGCAGCAACCTCTATATATCTAACTGGCAGTTTGTAGGGACGCTGTATTTGTGTTTACTTGAGTGTTAATGTAGCTTTCTGTATGATCTGGTGTTTTTTTATTAGAGTCTAGAATTAAATGGAAAGCAATTCACCTTTTCAGGTCAATGCAAATGCACATTAGACCTTCAGAAAGAATAGGTCTTTGAAGTCCTCCATGAATTCAGTGAAATGCCTAACTTTAGCTCTTCTCAGAAATTGCTTTTGCACTTTGACTTATAATTCATACATTTTTACAACTTCTACATGCTGCCAAAGTACAACTCCCAGCAACTCCCACCCACTATCCTGTCCGTTGCTGCAGGTTGTCAGAAATTGTAATTCAACAACACCTGGAAGGCCACAGGTTCCCTACCCCAACTGAGATCTTTTGCTGTAAAAATACCAAGGAGGTGTTTGAACTGGGAAGGTGTGCTTGTTGCATTCTGAAAAGACACCATATAATATTAAATGCAAAAGTAACACCATTGAAAAGAAATGGATAATCAAGAGAATTTCCCATTAAATTCATGAAGTTTGTCACCCTGGCAGCAGAAGAGTTTATTAGATTTGTTCAAATAATAACCACAATAGCAACAAAACCAACCATACCAACCTGATCGTATTCTGAAGCTCCTGGATATAATGGCCAACCTAAAAAAAGTTCTGCAATGACACATCCCAAAGACCACATGTCAATTGCTTCGCAGAAGGGTAAACCAAGGATGATTTCAGGGGCTCTGTGGAGGAACAGCATCAGAGGAAAGCATTAACCATTGCAAAATAATAATAATATGACTATGTAAGAAATCGCAAGGAATAAAACGTTTAACACAATCAGGTGTATGTTCAGGAAGAAAGAGGATTTATTCATGAGTACATGTTTAAACTTTCTTTTATGTAGATTCTTATAGATATTTCCTTGTATGTCCATGACCGGCCCAAGTTCAACTGATAGAGCTTTCCCTATCACAGCTTTCTATGTTGGGAAATGCATCATCTGCAAATATGCCACTGATAAAAATCAGATNAGCTTCAGTATTCCTGTCAACTTCCTTTCAAAAAAGGTGAGATTTGCTCCACCTGTAAGGGTCATCTGTCCCAAGATCCTTTCTAGAATAGTGCTTGGACAATAGCAATATGTTAAGCCTACCTAGTTTTCCCTTGTTTTTAGTTTTTAAATATGATATTGGTTTATAATCGGAAAGGAGGAAAGGACCAGGCAACAAAAGTATCAAAGAAAATTATGGTATCTTAAAGACTAGTAAATTTATTACTTTAGAGTGTATTAAAGATAGCTATCCATTAGGGAAACTTGAATTGGATTGGTAGAACTTAAATGATTCCCTATGATTACAGTACATTTCATGAGATCAACCAGAGTGACAAGAAATGTCTAAACCTCCTGTTTGGGGCCTGTAAATAGACATTTGGAAATGAATTGCAGAAACTATAGCAATTCCCTTATTTGCATTTCACATATGTAGTGAAAGCTTATGTCATAAAAATTGTAGCCCTTTAAATTAATAGAAGACTTCCTGCTATTTAATAATACAGGTTTTATTTTCATGCAATTATTGGGTTTTTTTTTTTAGAGTATTTAGTATATTTTAATTGCTAATTCAATGTTTGGATTGTTATTCTCTCTGTCAACATGTCTCACAAGCATAAATAATGATCTTTCTGGGGAAAAAAACAAGGAGGGTATTGCATCCATCTCCCATGCCACATTTGGCAGCAGGATAAATTAGGGAATTTTGGAAACTCAAAACTGATGGACAGAGTTTTGGCATACATTATAGCGGTAAATTCACGAGATGACCTTTGGATAATAATTAGAACTTCCACGGTGAAGTAAATTAGAAATAAGCTTTGTTCATGCAAATATAGCTAATTGAGAAATATTCTTCTCTCCAGTTTACTTTCACATTTGTGTGTCTTGGCAGTGCAAAATTAGTTTGTCCCAAATAATCAGGCAATAGTCATCTCAGTCCAGCTTTCTTTTTGAGGAAGGGAAGGAAGTGTGAATTCCCTTACCACTTCCTAAAATTTTATTAAATGGATAGTTGTGGTATAATGATGCTAGTAGAGTCAGGAAGAGAGAATATCCATTTCCTATCCTTCTCTGCCTCTTGTTCTTCCCTAAGAGGTGAGGGACAGATAGCCACAGAGATGGAAAGCCTAAGCAGGGTTTGTTTTACAGGGCCTCTCTAGGTCTTAATCACAGCCNGACAAGTTGATATCCCAGCAGTATTCTTACCTGTGCCATGTCATCCAAACAGTTAAAAATGTACTTTCTTGCTTCTTTTGACTTGATACCAGTCTCTGCCTCATGGTCATCTGGTGTCTGCCCAGAATCAACCAAAAAGATCATAAAAACCAGTATTTCACTATATACCAATCTATTACTAACTCAAGTGAATGATACATAATTTACCACTGCTTTTAAGCATAATCCCAACACAATATTATCCAATATATGTATATTGTCCATCACACATAGTTGCAAGAGAATGAAAATAAATCTTTGCCTTATTTCAAATCATTACAATATTTTTCATTCTATGTGGAAAGCAAGTTCAGCAACACATGGTCTTATGGACTCTTGACTTAGATATGGCACCTTCTGAACTCATCTTATCCTCCACCAGGTTGGGGATGGGAGAGAGATAAAAAATGGGTGGGGGGAGATAAAGGAAGGAAATAAACACTGCTCCTTTAACCATTTTTGGTTTTGATTGTGTCTGCTGCCATGACATGAATTTCTGCAGAAGTGAATGCAACCCGTCAGGCATTATACAGATTTCTCATCCTTGTCTTCCCTAGGGGTCAAAAGTACCTGATATTATCCTCCGATATTGCAGTGAAATGAGACTGCATTGGCTATATTAATGGGGGAAGTAATGTTGAAGATACCACATTCAGTAAAATACGATTACCGTTTCTCTTCATAAGATTATTCTAGACATTACAGAATTTGAGCCAGGAAGTCTTGAGTAACAAGATAATCTCCAGTAAAAGCTTTCTGTCTTCCAAACCAATGGTAGTAGCAAGACAGACAAGAAGAAAATCTACCTGATATAATTCATAAAACTCTTTTTATGAGCTTGCTTTTGATTCTTAAATTATCAAAGTATAAAGCTCCTGTCTTATTGTACAAGACACAGCTTAATTTATCTAGTACAGGCTGCTGCGAGTAAGCAGCTATAACAAATGGACCCCAAAGGTGCTTTTTCAAAAGGCAATTGGATTTTTTTTCCCTTGAAGATATTTTGCTTCTCATCCAAGAAGCTTCTTCAGTTCAGTAATTACATTATGATAAACATAATTAATTTTTTTTTAAAAACCTTCAAGCCAGACCAAAATTGAAT